AGCGATTGAGGCACCTGGTGGGACTTCCAGACATTGCAGAACAGTGAGGAAGTCAAATCAAGTCAAGTTCATGTGTGTGAGTGTTTCCCGAAATGTTTTCCATGATCAATTCAGCATCGGCATGGAATCGTTAGATGATACCCATGTATTTCGCAAACTTGATTCATGCTGAGCTGGTATGAACGCACCAAGCCCGAAGTAACATTCCATGGAGCGTCCAAAGCTTGCCAAAGCCCACGAACCAATGATTGTTTCAGGTGGTCCACTTCAAAATGGGCTCAAAGGCCTTACGTTGTGAGTGTACCTTTTTGCATGCTTCTTCTCGTTGCAATTCTTTTCCCAAACATGCAAAAGCAAAAAAAACTGAGAAACCGTTTTAGCAACATGGAATCCCGCATGTTTAAGGCTAAAACCCCCGATTCCATTGTACCATGTAACAAGAACCAAAAACGAAACTCTACGACTCCTGGTTTCGCATTATTTTGCCGGGCTCCGCTTATAGAAGTCTCGAGAAATCGTTACCGGATTCGGAAATTGCGCTGATCTCGGAAACTCAAGCTCGATAGCAGGAAATGTGCGTGTTTGGCTGTATATCTTTCTTTGTTATGCCTGCCATGTTTCTCATCGTTGGAGCCGGTATCCCTGTCAGTACTCTGTGCATTGTCATTTGCAGCGTATTTTTGGTGGGGTAATCATCATCCCTTCCCCTACTGTAATATGAAGGCAGCGCTAACATGAAATAATTTCTTCAAGGCCAAGTGACATCCTAGAAAAGCATTTTTCAAGGAAAACCAACCCAGCCTAATGATCAATCAAAAAGGATTCTGAACTCTTTAGCGGGGTCGTTATGTGCAATTCGAAAAATTCATCGATCTATTAGTTGCTGAAGTTGACTCTAAAGGAATTCAAGAAGCTACCTAGAACCAATGTATAAATTCGGGATTAAAGAATTTCTGCTGAAACTTTTTAAGCACGTTGAGCAAGGAATTTGCACGGAAATTAAAAGCTCAAGATTGATTCTACACTGACACACTCCTAGTTGGAAAAATATAGAAACATTGGAGTCCAGGACGTGAAGCGGCGCGTTTATCACAATATTCTTTTTACGGAGACAAGCAGGGTCCTTGGCTTAAGGAATTATTTGAACACGCCCTAATTAATTCCCTGCAGGATTTAGATGGAAAAAGTCAAGTGCCCACCCACGATCTCAACATTCACTTGACAACTTGAAGCCAGGTTAGTAAGGGACTTACATGTAGGAAATGAAGAGCCCATGTGTGAAAAACTCTAATAAGTCAAAGGCAATTTTAACAGGCGCCGTTTTGGCAGAAAAGGAGCAGAGAATTCCCTTAATTCATCAAACCCAGTTTAGTAAGGGATTCATATGCAGGAATCCAGGAACCCATACGAATATTCCCGAATGAATCAGCGCCAATTTAATAAGGGAATTTAAATGGGGCAAATCTGGAACCCGGGGCCTGAACATATCTTTCACGAATCCAAAAAACACATTTCATTAAGTCTGGAATTGTGCATGAAAAATTCCTGTGCCATACCGAAACCGATTGAATAACAATTAGAGTGTGGGTCATTCCCCCTCCCCTTAATTGCCGTTAAAGGGGCTTATTAAGGGGCGATTATCATTTCTTAGGATCCATTTTGCTACGTGTTACTGTACGGGGAATGAACCACGTAAGAATTGCATGTGGAAAAACCAGCGGCCAGGATTAGAGAATTCCTTCAATAAATTCAAGCCCATCGGGTAAAGAGATTACCTAAAGAAAACAGGAGTCAGGATGTCAATGCTTTTTCATGCATCCAAACCAGTTTATTAAAGGATTTATATCAAGAGAACGAGAAGCCAAAGGTTTGAAAGTTCCTTGAATCATCCAAGCCCATGTGCTAAGCGTGATTTTTGCAGCAAACCAACAGCGCGGGATGTGGGAATTCATGTGAAAAAATTGAAGCTGATCCAAAAAACAAATTTCGTTGGATAAAACGAAGGGCCCAGCAAAAAAAAAACATTCACAAATCCAAACCCGGTTAATAAGTGTATTGTATGAAAAAGCCAGGAACGAACCCTGAATTTCAAACTTCCCAACATATTTTGAAGCCAATGTAATAAAGGATTTTTACGGAAAGAGAAAAATCAGGAGCCAAGGCTTCAAGAATTCTTGAACAAACACAACCAAATTTTCTAAAAGTGTCGACACAAAGAACTAAAAACCCAGGATTTCCAAGTTCCCTTGACAACTTGCAGCCAGTTTAATAGGGGACTTACATGTAAAAAATCAAGAGCCCGTGTGTGAAAATCTGAAATTAATCGAAGCCAGTCTATTGGGCGACTTTTATCAACAAAAATAGGGACCTGTGACCACGAAATTCCAAGATTAGTGAAGGGTCGATATGGAGAAAATTGCAAATGACTGGTTTGTTCTTTCCAGGCCCAAAAGGGTGGATGATGGGAGGGGGGCTAGCATATATATCTGCTCACATATATCTAGCACATACATATGTACACGTGTTGTGTAGTATGCGTTGGATCAGCAGGGTTGTGCATGTTGCATGCTGCGTGTTGTCTGGCGCGCTGTATGCTATGTGTGTCGGGTTGTGCGTGTTTTTTTACAGGTGAACTTTTCCAACGTTGCAACTTCTTCGCGTTTGTGGTGGACTTCTCCGCGTTTAAACTTAAACTTCACTACTTTTACAGTTGCACTTCTCCAGGTAGACTTCTCCATTTGCATGGTTAGACTCTGCATGTCACCCTTTTAAATACTACTTTTGTCAATTTAACAGCTGAACTTCTCTAGTTTTACGCGCAGCCGCTCCAAAACCGCAATAGCAACACATTTAGAACCATTGTGGGTACAACCCAAAGCCCATCAACAGCAGTGCCAAGAAAAGTTAAAGCACGGCAAGGGTGTAGCCAGGGGTATTTGTAGAAGCCGAAACATGAGCGCCTTCTTGCTCAAGCACAGGGGTTTGGGATCCATTTGCGTGGCTAGAAAAGAAGAGGTTGGGGTGGTCTCTCAAGGAAAGGATGTTTTGGGTGGTTTGTCCCACTCCCTTTCTCGGCTCGAGAACACAATTTTCCCCTGCTTTGGCCAAAACGCCGAGAGTCAGGGTTCCCCTTCTGGAAGCCTCTGGACCACAGTTCGGAAATATGTATGTTTGTATGTATGTATGTATGTATGTATGCATGCGTGTGTGTGCGTGACCCCTACCTGGTTCAAGGAGGACTGGCGTCACAACCAACAGGGTTCAGGGTTTAGGATTTAAGATGCAAGGGGGCAACGGCCCATCTCTTTACGTGCCCCCTGTGGTGCCAAAAGATTAGCAGACCGGCCTGTGCGGGAGATTAGGCGGCCGGCGTTGCCATAACAGTTTTCCATGTTCCACACTCCACATGAGCATGAATGTTGTGCATCAACATGTCTTTGCAACAGCAGCATGTGTGGCGGCTTGCAAGCAATGCATGAGAACTTTGCTTGATGGTTTGCAATCAGATGGAGACCTATTGCTTGCGTTGAGGCCCCTCCCAACAGGAACAGGCTCAAACAAACACATCTCAACAATTTGTGCTTGACGCAATCAGTGCATGCGGTACCTTTTTCCCCAACAGGTAAGTGAGGACCACGGCTGGAAAGAAGCAAAAACCGTCAGTTGTATGTCAAGTGTTCAGATTGGCGCACCCAAGTGTGATTACAGCGGCTTTCCCACTGTGGCGCCGTGGTGTACCTGTTGGGGTTCCCGTCGAACAGGCGGATGTTCGAATGGCAGCGCGCATGTGTTGTGTCCGTATATATGTGTGTGTGGAGCGTATGGTGCGTGTCGCTATGTCTGTGGGTAGCGGGTTTATGCTTGTGTCTAGACACGGTGTGTGTGGCGCCTGGTGGGCGATGGGCTGGCCGGCGGAGGGGCGAACAAAAGATGTGTGGGATGAAATGTGTGGGATAAGACTGGAATGAAGTTACGTCTTCTCTGTAATACGCATAGAAGGAATGCCAACTGGCTTGAGGAAAGTGAAATCTGCAGTTCCTCGCAGTTGGAGGTTCAGGGTGATTGTAACATAATTATAACATCATCGTACGCGTATTCCTAAATTGTAGTTGTGCTTGCTCTTGTGGCTGAAATGACAAGTATTGCGGTCATTAGAAGCATGATGATTAATATGTATTGCTATTAACATGCCATCAGTATCATTGTTTACAATTCCAGCATGAAAATAACGAACAAGGTTTAACGGCGTATCCTTCATAATTGTCGTAACCACAGTCTTAATCGCAATGAACTAATATGAACAACAACAATCGGAAGTATAGGACTGGGTGTAATAATAATGATTAGAGTATAGAACTGCTGCTTTTCTACGCATGCAAAAGCGTTCTCCCTCTATGCTGTATGACTTGTATGGATTGCAATTAGACTAGTTTGAACTGTCGTAAGAGTTGTAGGAAGAGTGACACAGACCGCAATCACGTGGTTCAAACAATCTCAGTAACAAGAACGCAAGCAACAACAACGGCGTTAGAAGTATTTAGCGTTTTCATCTTCATGCGATACCAATACCAACAACTACCAACGGGACAATAAGAAGAGTAGTTCCTATGGATTAGCCGAATAATTTTCCAGTGCATGGTTGCTCCACATCTATGGTCACAAAAAAGCACATTCTCACAGCGATCGGGGTTCTTATCTAAAGGGTCTTAAGGCGTAGGGTCATCCAATTCGTCTTGACCAATTGTCCGATTGCAGCACTTAAGCATTTGGCCGGGGAAAAAGCATCATCTGACGTTGACATTTCAGGACCATCCTTCTGACATTCGAGGGCGGAGGGTAATGAGATGGACGTGCTAGGTCAGAAGTACCATACACTGGATTTAAAGGAGGTAAACGCTCCAGTGCAATCCTCATGCCATCCCAAGAAAATATATGCTACCACTCGGCAGTAGCTTGGCGCACAGGGCAGCTCACAAAGCAGGTCTAGACTGACAAGCCGCTCGCCCTGAGGAAGTTGGCGTAAAGCTTGCGATTTCGTGTCTGGCTCTTTTCGAACAGCCACCTGCAATGCACTGGAGCCTCAACACCGATGAATTCTGTACAACAGGCTCGACTCTGTTTGCCAAGAAGTGATGGTTCCAGCAGCCAGACAACAGAAATGGGATCACGAGTAGAGAACATGAGAAGCATGAAAAGCATGCCAGCGCACTCCAGCAACAGGGACGATTTACAATTTCTTGTTGCCTATGGACCCCTGTAGCAATTTTCTCTAGTAGGACGTTGACATAAATTTCAGCTTGTGGGACCCAAATGTTTATCACAGGGGTTACGCGGTGCTTGTTTTTATTGTTTTCTTGCGTTGGTTTAGGGTTTACGGTTTTAGGACAGGACAGCATTGTCCTCGAGCCTTCTTGTACACCACCCGGTAGCGCACCCCGGGTGTTGCAACAGCTTTTTGTTCTTGCGGTGCAGGAGCAGACTCTTCCTGGCCGGTCTCAACAATCAGTGATTGGGATGCACGTTCGAGATGAAGGGATAGATTTTTTGCAAGCGTAACTGCATCCAGCCATGCTGCACCTATGTGTAGAAGCTTCATGACCTTTCCATCGTTAGCAAGAGCATCGCATCTGCTTGCTGTCTGTTGAAACCTTCGGGGATTGCATTTCGAATGCTTGCATTCAAAATGTCACATCCCAGTTGGAATCACTATCTTGTTGGATGGCTGCATGAAAAACTCAATGCAACTCTCTGCTGTGCTCCCTGAAGCCAGGCCTTTACTACCACATCCGGTGGATCTTCCGTGAGCTGTCCCACTTTCCTGAGCTTCCAGCGTAGAGGCTGGCCGCTTTCTAGAGTTTGCCCGAAAACGGCCCGTGATGATTGCCTACCAAAGCCCCACGGCTCTATTGGAGTCTATTCAACTGACATGGATGATGTGAAGCCACTCAAATGAGCCTGACCCCTAAGCCCTAAACCCTCACCCGAAAACCCCAAGCCCTTAAACCCCAAACCCTAAGCACCCACCAAGTGTCAAGCGCTCTGCAACAGCTTCAGCGTCAGTTTCGGTGAGATTTCGCAATGCAGTGGCAAGGTCGCCTCAAGACAAACCATCCCAGGCCCCCTGTTGCTGGTATTGGAGATGGCTCTAAGTGTCTAGTATACAATTTCATATACTTTGGGGTTCTTATATCATTTATTGTTATTTATAGTCCCCCTTAAGTAGATAGAATATAGCTTTGGGTAGATCATAATAAGATCCCCATATACCTCTTATTCTATCTACCTAAGGGGGATTATAGCCCTAAACCCTAAATAGTAGTTTCCATTTTCTTTCCCATTATCCCTACATAACCCATACAACCCTTCTTGTTATTTAGGCTTTGGGGAGTGCTTGGTAGTTTCTACTTCGGCTCCCTGGGGCGGGAATCAGAGGGCTTTTGGCGAACACCTGACACATGGGGGATTCCCAAAATTAGAGATACCTTTTTGGGGGTCCCCATAATAAGGAGGACAATAGTATTTTGGGGTCTATATTGGGCTTCCCCTATTTTGGGAATGTACCATTTTTCCACGGGGTCATTGCCGAGGGAAGCGCAATTTTACGCTTTAGGGCCGTGAATCTGGATGGGCAAAAAAGTGCCGAAAGGCCGAAGCAGGTTCAAATAAAAGCAGAGAAATAAAATAGCAATTGAATCCAAAATTCAACCTTGCCGAAGCGAGCACAAAGGCACAACAAGGCTCCTCAAAAGCATCGTCATGAAACCCGTGCGTGCTTGATCGTTTCTAGCTGAGAACTGTACGTTTTAGGCCAACATCCAGCCAAGCTTCAATTCGAGACGTCTTCTTCCTGCCATTTCCGGAGCAAGGCTTGTGTGGCCGGATCTTCTGCCATGTCCTTAGCATCAAGGCTGATAGATGACAGACAGTCTTGAACATATGAGATGTGGGGAAGGATACTTTCTTTGCTTGGGCTTGGGTATCTTGCGGACTTCACTAATGATATCGCTGTGCAAATCCTAGGTTTCTTCTCTCTCTTATGCTGAGCTTTGCATTGTTTTTCCTTTTGCGCTGCTTGTACGTAGCAGCGTAGCAAGATGGCCAGAGAGCATGGCAGCTTTGCGTTCTCATCACCAGTGAGCTGTGGCACCAAACAAGGTCATCTTGACCGCTGAGTTTGTGACACATAGAACTACCAGACATAGACCAGCATGGCAGATGATGATCTACCACTGGGATCCTGGCCACAGCAAGCGACCCATGCGCTGATCTGTGCCAGGGATCCTCAGGCCAATTCAAGGATTGGCGCAGGAAGGCAGTCAAACGTGGAACGCGAACAGGCATGCATCAATGCCAAAACCATCCGAAGAACAAAAGCTCCATTGGAGGGATCGCTCGGCAGTCAAGCTGGGACAGCATCTCTAGGATCCCGCGTGTGCAAATGAGATGCTACGATGTCTGTGTAGCAAACTGCAAACGACCCAAGCTCCCTAAACTCTAAACCCCAAACCTTACTGCTGTCGCGTCACGGCTCCGTGAAGCAGCAGGGCTGCAACTATTCGAACATTTGCAGCAGAAGCTGCTTCGAACAGAGCTGTCTCACCTGTCTCGAGCACACAGGGCCTGTGGGTCCTGTATGCCCATGACATGTGAAATGAAAAATCTATGTTTCTAGAATCATGTGAATGTCTCCTAGACCGCTTGTGAAATGAGCACTGCATCCCAACAACAGAGCCGGGGCACCTAGAACATCAGCAGCGTTGGGGTCAGTGCCGGTCTTCAACAATGCGCGAACCTAAGCAACATCTCCATGCTGGTAGTCTGCATGAGAGTAAGTGTTTCCACTAACTTTCCATCGCGAATTCACGTCAGGCCTGCTCGTGGCACTACACGTCGTGCAAAGCATCAGATTAGCAGGATATGCCGACGTGCACGGTAGGATGAAATAAATTGAAGGCTGTTCAGATTGCTTCAGCTGTGTCTCCCCCTTGCTCGCTGTCCAGGGATGGAGGTGCACCTCCTGTAATCGCAATTTCAAACATGCTTGCTTCTGCGCCATTCGCGCCCTAAGCCGAGATGAATGTCTGTTTTCCTAATTGGCGAAAATTCTACTCCACCCTTGCAAGAGCACCGTTCAATGCGCACATGACGTTCCGCTTGGCATGAAGGAGTTGAGTGAGCGTCACCGCAAAGCCAGCAACATCACTCCCGTCGCATAGCAGTATACAGTGGCAGGTGCACAGTGCAGACTTGGGGAACCAGCTGAGCATCGCAATGACAGCATCAAAATGGAAGAAATAATGCAATAGATTTATAATGCAACAGTTTCGACAAGAAGAGAGGACTCCGCGAAAACTTGAGCAGGAGGGTGATGTCTGCGAAAAATCAATCAAGGAGCTGCATTGTCATGTTTGGACATACCATCTTACATGTCCATGGCCTCTCAGCCCCATGCCTCAATCTCATCCGACTTGCGCACAGCTTCCATAAGAGGTAGCTCTGCCGCAGCCTTAAGGTAGTGGGGATGGGCTGGGGCCAAGGGTCAAGCTGTAGAGAGTCGCATGGGCAGCGAGAGAGTAAGAAGTGCTTCCTGGTGTTTAGTAGGGAATAAGGCAATGTCGTCCTTATGTAATCCTTGTACGATATGTTCCCTTATTCCTCACTAATCCCGGACAAGACTAGCGGAACGTCAGCACATGCTCTCGCCATCATGTGTCAGTGTGGAGATCTCGCTGACATCGCGATCTGCCAAGTGAAGCCGCTGGTTCTACTTGGCCTAAATCCACTTTTTTCTGCAAGCTTACTGCTCCTGAAGAAGATTTCACCCTTTGCACTTGGCTTGCAATGCTTGAAGCAATCAGCCCATTTGAGCGAATGATCACATCTCTATTATATCACTTTGGGACAACTTGGCACGCCCACCTATGCAGGACAAGCGTATGGGCGTCCCATCAGACCCATTCAAGCCGAGAATCCCTAGATGGCTCAGACTCCTGCTGCCTGGCAGGCGGCCTAGGCGAGGTATCGGTGGAAACAACCACATGAGACATAGCCTAAGAAGAAAAACTTTCTCAGACAGCTTTGACACAATAAGCGACAACATTTGCAGTTTGCAGCTTCGGCACGGGATTTGTGAAGGTGGGATCTGCGCTCTCGATGGGGTCTGCATCGGCGGAGCGGCATTCGGAGAATTGCCCCAAAAGAAATCGAAGCGCGCCTGAAAGGAATTATTATTCTTTGGTTTGATGTGACGTATCCCACCTACATCCCAACGCTGCATGTTGATGGAACTTTGGAAGCGCTCAGCTTCAAATGCCCAAGGATCCTGGGAAGAAAGCGGCCCTCGTGCAGGTGGACACAAGCTTCCATGTCTTACACCACCTTTGTTGGTAGTCATGGGCCACCAGTCCAGCTGTTAAGGTCAAACTCTCATGCTGGCCGCTTTGCATTGGATTCTTGGGCTTCGTGTTCTGCTCTTGAGCATTGAGACTTTGTCCACCCTTGCGAACTTTTCGATGCACACTCCTGCAATGTCCTGATCGGTAAGCAGTGAAGATCCCACAACTGAAGCTATAGCAGGATGATGAACAATTCAAAGACACGAAGTTAACACCTAGAGTCTGCGACGAAAATCCTTTGAGCCTCCAAATTATTCAGGTCTTTGCGGAAGCCTGCCTTCTCTGCTGCAAAGGCAAAGGCTGCTCCGGAGTGCTGCTGCAAATTGGATAAGTCTTGCAGCTGCTTTACCTGGACTGCACACCAAGGGAAGGTTATGGAATTGTCTGGCTCGGCCATCAGGCTGTCAAAATCTTACTGGCGCTGAGTGGGGAATAAAGGAAAATAATCCCTATATGATCTGCTCCCTGATTCCTTACGAAGCGCCAGTAGGAAATACAATTGACGTAGGGACTTGGCCAGGAAGGTGTGGTATCATTGCACATGAAATTTTAAACAGAGACAAGCGCTCCCACCTGAGGAGGCATGATATTTGAAGGGAAGATGATTCCTTGCGTAAACATGTTTGCGATGACGGAGACGACTCCTAGGCTTGCCGGGGTTAGCACGGAATAAGGTAAGGGAATAGAAGCCTTATGTAATATCTTCCCCTAGTTTCCGGCATTAGTACCCTTTTGATCGTCTATACCTTGATTTCTGAACATGTGAGCCCAACATCTATGCCTTTGCCGAGACCTCCATAATATCAGCAAGAAACCGTACTAACAATAATGACAAAGATAACACTACAAGCAACAGCAATAACAATACTGGACACACTTCCCCAAATCCTCGGGTGTGTCTAGAAACTTGAACCCCCAATATGCTACCTTTATATACTACTATGGGTTTAAGGTTGAGGGTTCAGGGGAACCCTTAAGGGGGATTTATTTTCTGGATCCTCCCAGGGCTCGGGGTCTTGACCAAGGCTCATCTTCAACCTTTGTCTCCTGAGCGGGAACACTGCCTGGGCATTGGAGGAATGTGGCAGTTTCCCTGAATATGAGAATGTGGCAATGGAATCTGCTGCAAGAGTTTCGGTTTTGGTTTGGGGCTCCTAAGCTGTTGTAGAGCAAGAGCGTTGACTGTGAGACCTGTCGAATTCTCCGCTGAATATGTTTGAGACGACTTTCAACTGTAAACCACTAAGCTTACTGGAGCTTAGCAGGGGATAAGGGAACATGATCCCTATTTATTCCTTAAGCACCAGCAAGTAAAGCTCAACACGAAGCTCACCGATTCAACGTGATCCGGGCCTCTTGGGACCTTGAATGCCTACATCAGCCGTTGGCCATGGAACCTTATCCCACGAGTCATGAAGCTCAACGCCTAGACTTAGGACGTCCAAGCTATGCCAGATGGGTTTGAAACTTAGGGAGACCAAAGACGCCACTCAGTGGAGGGTCACGGGGAGTAAGTAAGTTGGCCAAAGTTGGCGACCAATGCGGTTACTGTGTGGCTTGTAAACATAATTCTTCAAGTCCTCTTAACCCTGCGAGTATGTCCAATCCATGCAATTGTTTCAGCAGCTCTTCATCTTACTGGTGGTGAGAAGGGAAGAAAGGAATATAATCCACAGATAATACATCCTAAACCTGAATCCCCAAACCCAAACCCTAATCCCTGAACCCCAACCTTAATCCCTAAATCCCAAACCCAAGCCCTAATCCTTAAACCCAAATCCTAATCCCTAAACCCTGAACCCAAACCCTAAACCCTAAAGCCAAACCCTAAACCCAAACAATAAGCCCCAAACCCAAAACCCTAGCCCAGTGGCTGAGATCCTTTTCAGGCTCGCCCATCTCCGTCACAGCCTGCAGGGGCCCAAGTGTCTTGATCGAGCTTCAATTTTTGTGAATTTCTCCTCTTACCCTATTAAACCCCAGATAAATACAGTTATATATATATATATATGTGTTTAACACCTATTTAATCCTTTATATTCCTAACATCTTAATGTAGTGCCTAATTTCTGGAAACCTTCTGCTAGGAATCCTGACGTTTTGGCAAACCTTTACATCCCTTCCATGGGAAACTTTTGCATCGCTCCGATTGAAGAAGCTACATTGACCCCCTCTTTCGAGTCTGCCTCTGTGCGCCAGGGAGGATCATACTGGGGATTGTATAGGGGACTACTACAGCGGTTACCAGGAGGGGTGCTAGGAGTTTAGACTGTAGTGAGAACCACATTTGTTGAGTTGGATAGTTTCTTGGAAGCCTACTGCATGTTGGGGTATAAGCCTGGCATATTAGCTTTCGGAAGCGATATATACCAAAACCAGGGTTCGATTAAGGCTTGGGATGCCAACCTGAACCCTTGAGCAGCCAGTGCCAACTCATTAGAACTAATGACCATGCTGTTACATGACTGTTGCAAATCGCCTTTGCGCTATGTAACTTCTCATCTTCTGGAAGAGCCTGAAGCAGCAACCCCATCTCCGGATGGTGTACCATGATCCAGGCATCTTTCTTCACCACCTTGGCATCGTAGGTTTGGATCTTTGTGCGGTTGGGAAGGTGGGTTGGGCCACGAAGGGTAGGCTCCAAATTGAACATGTGCCAAGTAAGTAGCGTCTGAAACAAATAGAGCAGCAACCCACCCACCTAAACACGTCATGAAGGAGGACGGCCTTGTATGACTGTAGAGAAACATGTAGCGTTACATGAAAGTTATATGAGCCATAGTCTAAACTCCTAGCATACCCCGTAATAACCCTTATAATACTCCCCCTATGTTTAACCCCCAAAATAATCCCCCATATTATCCCTTAAAGGAGTTCAGGCTATAGCCCATATGCAAACAGATGGCAGTCGGTAAGGTTTCTACAATGCTGATTCTTGGGTTGATGCCTTGCATGTAACGCATGCTAATCACCTCCCCTCATAACAAATGTTCTCGCCAGTATATAATGGCACTATATTGGAAGGCTTTAGTATTTGGTGGCGCGGGAGTTCATCATTATGACGAGGGGATTTTCATGCAGCAACACTGAGGCTCTGGGCCACGTCGTCAGAGTCGGAGTCGAGCACCTTGCACAATATCAGATGAGCTACAGTCAGTGCTTCCCATTTGGTTAATGGGCGCGGGTTCCTATTGGGGAATACATGAGGGACTATACCAAACTGTGAGCCTTACATACCTAGTGCAAAGTGAATCCCTGCAAGCTCAACCTAGGGGCTAAAGGATTACACCTGCTCTTCCCTATGGGTTTCAAGTATGGCAACACTGTGAGTTGACCTCCCCACCAATAAAAAGTTAAGCCTCATGCAAGGCCTCCACTTTGGGAGCAGCATCGACCCAGCGCCCACTCACAGAATCCCACACTGGCTCCGCTGTGGCCCACCTGGCAGAGCTTGTGCCTAATTACACCCCCTATCCCTCCACCCGCCCAACGAAAAAACAAAAAAAAAGGAACAAGATAAAGCCATCGTGGTAAGGGGATGACCTCTCATTAGGGCAGTGGAGGTTTCATTATTGGGGGGGATTGTACGCATTGCCAGTGTTGGCTGCAACAACTGACAATCCTTGGGAATAGTACAACGGCACTCTCAAAGCAGTTCTCGTTCTTAGGACTCCTACGGGTAGAGTTGTGGTCTCCTCATGCGTAGATGCGAAATACTGCTACGCCAACTAACAAAAGCAGAGATTTGAGGTACAAATGACTTTTCTGAGGTGCATTGATTACTTTTGTCTTGAGCTCCTGCCTGCATTTTAGACCCAAATCAAGAACAAATCAAGTCTCCGCTCTGTGTTCCGCCTCACGCGCCAGATGAGCTTATGGGCTTCGGCAGTGCATGATCAATATACCCTCCTGATCGCCCCTTGAGTGAGAAAGGGTCCTTACAACAGCAAAGACCTACACTCTACAGTAGACCTCCACTGTGCGTTCATCAAAACTAGAGCCACCAGCAAAACTCCTTACGATAGGACGCTTGAAAAAAGGATGCTTATAATGCCCGTTAAAAGCCACAATCAGAAGCCAGTTCTTCCCATCATTAAACTACTTACTAAGTCCCCTCACCCCCTAGTTTAAGAAACTGCCAAACGCCTACAATTGATACTTAAATCCTGCATGATGACCTTACCACACTATCATACCATAACTCGGAAGGCATAAGATACTTAGGGTCATTTGAGTAGCGTTTTTTGGTCAAATTCAATAAGATTATATTCCTTATATAAGATACCATACCCCAAAAGGAGGATATAAGCTTACGCTACAATGGGTACCATATTACCCCAAATAAAATACTACTCATTTATTATTTCTTCAATCCTACCATAGCAGAGCTGCAGCCTCTTCTGAGCCTCTGTCATTCTGGGTGGTCTCGGCTTCTCTTCAGCATCCACAGGCGTTTCCTTAGCCAAGATATGCGGCTTCTCAAAGTGGGGCGCCTTAGAAAACCCTAGAAGGGGTGGAAAGGAATTATGCGGGGATTGTGTGGGTCCTCATCCGGGATTGTATAGCGTTTCTTTTGAGAAGCCCCATGCACTAGATCCTCCTAGAAGCTTCAGGAAGTGCAGACATCCTACTGAGTGTGAGCTCCATTCAGCCAAGACGCAATGCAAACTCGCCGCCAGCCTTGAGAATAAAACGTGAGTAAGGTTTAGTTTGGAGCTTTCGCCAAGTGAGGTTGTATTTTGCTTGCAAACTAGAAGAACCACAACGGCTACCATGTCACGCCACAATAGGGGACTGCTTTTCCGGATTCAAGGCGCTGGTCCTTTGATGTTGCAGCGGCACACGCATTGAGCAGCCCCTTAAGCATACATGAATACTCGCCCAAACAGAAGCAAGAAATTGCGGCAGTTGTCGGGTAGTTGAAAGTGCGCTACAAGTAGGACGATTAAACTTACATTCTGAAGAACCTGAAGCCCGCGCAATAAGTATCCATGAACAACGAGTAGAATCAGTTGTGTCTTTGAATGCCTGCATCCAGAGCCTACAATTTTGTGGGTGTCAGTAGAAGAACAGAGTGGATCATAGTAGCTCCTGTATAACCCCCAATGTAGCTTCGCATTCCTTCATTCCCTACGCATACCTAGCAGGGTAACCCCAAAACCTAAAGCTTTAAAGTCTACATATCCCTATAACCCCCCGTTTCCGTTTCCTATGTAACCCCTATGTAAAGCCCCTCTACCCCCTTTTTGAAAGCCCCTCTACCCCCCTGAATAGACCCGAAATTATAATAGTTTCCACGTGATCTTCCATTGCCTACTGACAACCAGCAAGACAAATGTGAGACGTGGCAGTTAGTTTCCCAAAGTAGAAGGAACCCAATATAAACACCAAAATACGTTAATCCTGATTCTGGGACCCGCCAAGAAAGTACCCCTCATTTTGGGAAACCCTAAGCCGTAAACCCTATATATCCCGATGCAACCCTTATAAATCCCTTTGACGCTACCCCTACTTTTGGGAAAGCTCCATATGAGCTACTGCCAATATTTCCTACATGGGTTGCTTACGAGGGACTATATTTGGGACTATACTAAACTACAAGAGGGCCCCTGTGTCTACTTTTTATGGTCCCTTGGCAAAGCTAATATTGCCCAGACCCCTGGGCGGATCTAGACAGTAGAACCCCCTTAAGGGATTTCAGAAATTACCCAATAGTAGTATAGGGTACCATTTTGGGGGTTCTACTTTCTAGATCCTCCCAGGGGGCTGGGTGAGAGTAGCTCATATGGCTCAGGAGCTGGCCTCTAAGTTGCTGCGTTCTTGACAAGTTGTTTGAGCTTTCTCAGAAGAGTGAGATCCTGAAGGGCCCTAGGGATGTACGTATAAGGGTTGTGTAGGTAATTTAGGATCTTCTTAAGGACTTCAGGAGAACTATCTTAAGAAACTATGCATTCGAGATGTTTACTGGCGACTTGCTGCAAATGAGGCACAGCGAGTCTTGTCCCATTCGAACATCTCAACCCGAGCACCCTTCTTCAGCCGACGAAGGAACGGGGCCTGACGGTATTAGCACAAGCTGTTTCATTGCTCTTCGCGCCTTGCCAATACGATTCGTGTTCTACGGCTTTCATCTTTACAACTGCCTTTATTGCGGATACGAATATAATTGGTGTTCTGTGACCATCATCCTTGTAATTGCCTTATTGCTGCTCTCAGTCTTACCGCCACTGTAACCTTGACAGAATAAAAGTCTCGCAGGCGCCTGCAGGGATGGCAAGGTCCGAACTGCCACGAAGTTGGCCACCACCTCATACCTCGCGTTGCAGATCCGAGGCCCTAAAACCTGTATCTTAAAGCGTAAGCATTGAAGGAATTAAGAGATCGGGAAAACGACAGAATTTCCTTGTGATCGCCATCATTTTGATCACTTTTCTTTTGGCTGCTCTACGCTCGTCTAAGGTAAGGTATGAGGAGATCTGGATGAATGCAACAAATTACATCACGTTACAAATTCAATTAGGTTGCGTGGCAACCAACATTCAGTATTTTGTTCTGGGAAGTGCTGAGGTTAATCCAATTCTAGAGCTGCAAATTGATGCTAAAGGGTATAACTGGATCTATTGATAAAAAATCCCACTATGAACATTGCAATTCTGGTTCTTGCGGCTATGATGTGAATGTACGATGCCAGTCAAGACACGCCTGTCCAACTGGAAACTAGCCAGAGGGTACAAGCGCACACTGCATTTGTGAAGCCCTAAAAGAGCTTAGGTCGGCAACGAGAGCAAGCAGAACCAGCTTTGTGGACGGACCCCCTGTAGATATGAATGTTTCTATAAGTATGTACATAAGTTAATGTGTACATACACGCCTATAAAGCAAGTCAAGCATATGTCCAGAGACAAGATGCATTTGGCCCGTCTCTAGCTTTCGTGGCTCCTGTGTGCAAGTTTACATTGCTGCTTCCTTCAATGAAAGCCCTGGGAAATGCTTGAAACCAAGAAGTACTTCCCAGCTCATCTGGATAAAAGCTATTCGACAAGCTGACGTGGGCAAGGATGCCCATTATCAGGTGGACCAACATCAGCCAAAAGGACAATTTTTTGTTGCATACCCGCACCCTGGGAGGAGCTGGAACGTAGAGCCCGCCGATATAATACACTGTACTACTACAGAATAACTTCTAGGAACTTTTAGAGAAATATACCGTCTAGATGCTCTGAGGAGTTTGGTAGGAGCAGGTTTTGCATTGCAAAGGGGCGGAGACTACCGTATGTGCATTGCTGGCTCGAGCTGCCCGTGCGAAACGCACACTGCCAAAGCAGCCCGCAAAAAACATTGACGTTCAGGTGTGCCAAAGCTCATACCCCAAAATGTCAGAGTAGGTATATACAAGATTCATTGCAAGAACAGGCTTTTTCTGTTCTGGGCAGGGCTGGTTAAGGCAAAACATGCTTCTGTCCTCGACATCTCTTTGGTAGCCAGCCTTCTGTGTAAACTTGCCAGCGAGGCTCCTTGGAATGCAGGGAAGACTGCAAAGCAGGAGTCGCACCCCCCCGATCTTCGAAAACCTTTGATATGGAAACAAGAGCGGTTGAGGTCTCAATGACAGGTGCAGGTGACGAGTCAGCCTTTACACGCCCTCGTTCTACAGGACTGCATGTCGGTTTCTGCAAACTCTTTTGTAGCGATCGTTAATGTGCATGTGAGAGCCAGGCAGGGTTCGGCCATGGATGACTGCTAGCAACCCTTTGTTGCCATGAGAGTGCCCTGAACTGGTCGCTTCTGGGATTTTCGTGATGCATGCACGAGGACCTGCAACAAGGAAATTCTGATGCCCTTTCAATACATATGACCCGTCAGAATCCAGGCTCTCAACAACTATGCAAGCCGCACAATTGCTTCCCAAACCACCCACAACAATGTCCTTCCTTACCATACGCATCTTAATACAATATTATGATTTCTGGGGTCCAGGAAGCTGCGCAATGCATCCTGTCCATCAACAATAGCGATTACACTCAACCCTGAAACCTAAAACTTAAACCCTAAGCCCAGGCACGTGTTTGGCTGCCCCTCTGGCTTGGACATGGCCCGGATTTGAGCCTCCAGGCCTTCCTTTGCAAAAGGCTTTCGGGTGTTTAACTTGCGCCGTAAAGACTGTCCACTACCTATACCTTATATACAAGGTCAACCTTTAATTCATATTGGGCCTCCTATTGCCCAAGGGGGTCAACGTGTATCACTATCATAGGACTTTAACAAAAAATTCTACTCTTGGGGGTTGTGGTGATCAAAATCCCTTTCTTCTCATCTTCAGGACAAGTAAAGGGAAGGGAGGTGATTTGAAATCAATGTAGAAGCCTAAACAATTACCAGGGTTAAGGATTTAGGGCATCATTCTGAACAAATCGGCAATTATCCCTTTGGAAACTGAAGTTCTAAAGCGGATTATAGGGATTCTGTCCAATGTTGGGCACAAAATAAAGTCCAACTTCATTTCTAAATCTATTTGAGGTACGCCGTATGCCCCGATACCAGATTTATATAAGGAATCTGGGACTGCGATATTGTCAATTGTCGCCCCATGTTGCTAGGTTCCGCGCGCAAGGTGAAGACGGGTGATTTTTTCGACAGGGATGGCCACCGCAATTCTTGGAAGCTTGCTTTGTGGCTTGAGTGAGATGCAGCAGGACGTTGCCTTTAACCTCCGAAAAGTGTTTTTAGGGCTCCATAAATAGGGCTGCCGAAAACACGCCCCAATATACTACAACCCTTAGTATAGGGCCCATGTGTTTTGGAAAAACCCATTTGGTCCTTCATGGCAATCATCTGCTCCATCGTCATGTCCGGGCTGCTGCCCGCCATGTCTTGCTGTACCATGGCGGCGATGGTCAAAGTGGAGTACCTAAAGAGGAGTACGCTGACAGTGTCATAAGGGCGTCTGCAAGTGTATGATGGCGAGGTGGAGGGCTCAAGTTTCTGGTCTTAAAGTCTGAATCACGAGAGTAGCTTGATTGCGGATCACCTGCTGGCAAAACCAATCAACCCATAAATGGCATCTGAAGGGGTAATCTCAGCTGGGTATCCTCCAAAACTGAAAGTATCGGTATCCATTGCGATGTGCATGGATGAGGGTAGTCAAGTTGAAGTACCTCCGAGGCATGTGAGCTGTAGTCTAAACACCTAGTACCCCTCTTAATCAGCGCCATAAGGCGCCTCTATATAAACGCCTATATCGTCCCATTTAATGAATGCTGGCTATAGCTCATGTGCAGAGCAAAGTGAGCACGCTGATGCTCTACCCAAGCGTCCTGTGGAGTACTCGAACCTACATCATCAGTCAACTAACTGCAACTTCGCCTTTGCTTGAACCGAAGACAGGGTATATGAGACTCAGCCTCAAATCCTGTCGTGCAATGAAAGGAAAGTAACCACAGTTTTTCAAGTATAGGGCATTGCATACCACGTAGGGAAATTCCCCACACGTTGAGATGTGGTTGCAACTGGCCAGGAGGCATTGACATGTTTTCAGGGTATTGCCCCCAACCTGCAAGACCCCCTGCAAAAGCCATGTAATAGAAGCAAGTGTCTTACGATATATCCGAAGGATTACAACCACATACTTTCTGTATAATCCCTATATAACCCCAATATACTATAGCAGTTTCCATTCTATTTCCATTATCCCAATATAATATAAGCCTATATAACCCCAATATAACCCGAATATAATTCTGTAGCTGAGCGCGGAATGCCAATCTCCAAGACTACTGTAATTCCTAGGACTTTAGGGACTTAAGGTGGTGCAAGATTTCTTCCATCAATAGTACTTACCCAAGGAAATCTTCAAGAAAGTATACTCTCTGGTGGCAGTGAGCCACCCAGCCACTGTCACTTTGAGACTTTCAGTGCTAGGGCTGCTAGGGGATGTATAGGGTTATATAGGGTTTATGTTGGGATATATAGCCAAAATGAGGGGTGCTCTGATGGAATCTTGGTGTCTTGGGCAGTCAATGTTCCAACAGGATGAATCTTTTTGCCCTTAGCATGCCTGCGCGATTCAACAACCTGAGGCTCCTGACAAATGGAATACGGAATCATTAGGTCGACCTTTGAGTCTTCATAATTGCTTCGATGTCTCTTTCAAGCAGCTGCACAAAGCTGACAAGTGTGGTGAAACAGCTGGTGCACTGTCTTTAGACTTTACTTGAAATCTGCTCAATGCACTTCAGCAAAATCTTCCAAGGCATGCCAAAGGAACTCTGCTACGGTTTCTTGCAGCCTTCCTTCTCACTGAGCTGCCCCTGGGGCAACATCCAGTTGCAGTGTCTCTCACACGTTGACATGCCTCGGAGAGCTTCCGCTAACTGTTCCAATACCAAAGCTCCACCTCCACTTTCGAAGTTGCAAACGTCAAAGCCCGAGTTACGAGGCCCGGAATTGGCAATTGCCAGTTTCTAGCTGCTTGTCGACGTTCCGTTATCTTCGGCAGCTGCTTCTGCATTTCCCATGTAAAGACAAATCTTGCGCCGGCAGGCAAGAGCATCTTCGACTTCTTGTGATCCTGCCCACGAGATCTAGGTGCTTTAAGAGACACCTTCGTGGGGACCCTTGTAGCCAACAGATCTACATAGCGGTGACACATGGAAACGTGATTAGGGCTACCTCCAACAAGCTTTTGACGAGGCTCAGGCGTTAGGGTTTGGAAAGGAAGCGAGTGGGCACTCTCAAGGATCCCATGGACATCTAGGTATAAAGGTTCACTGAGCTCTGAAAGCGGCATTCTACTTTAGGAACTCCCCTATGACATGGAAGAGCCACATCAGCAGAACAGCTTTCAGATTGCGGACCCCGGATCTTCTGGACCTCATATTTGCCGCGGATGTTAAACCCCTGGCTTCCACAAATGTGACGGCAGTGCATACAAACTGGTCCAAACATGGTTTGTGTGGAGGCACCATGCTTCCCGTGGATGTAGCTGAAGATTCGGTGCTTAAAAGCCACAAGCAATTGTCTAGAACCATTGCCAATTTAGTTGCAATCTACGAGAATCGTGCTGAGATGAGAAGATTCACATGAAAGTTTATCAAGTATCCTTGCAGCCCTCCAAGGGGACCACCATGATCCACTCATCATCTCATCATTTGTATATGTTGCTGGGGTCCCTACAACACCCCTGGTTTCGAGGAACGTTCCCATGTTGGGCGGGTGTCCTTGAGATGGCTCTCCGCGCTTGCCTGCGGAGCCGCTTGTGTCATTTTGCACCAACTGGACAGAACAGGTCCTGCGCTGCTCATTCCCGTATTTTACTCTTGGATAGTAAGGGACTAGTTGGGAATGAAGACACAGCGCACAGGCATTATTCCAGGGGGATTATATGACTACTACAGGGATCCATGTCTCCACTGTTTGCAGAGATGTCCTCCTTGTGGTGTTGCAATGCCCGCAGCTCTGGTCACCGATTATCAATACCCAGTTGCGCGCGCACCTCTGGGAGGCTCAAGAGGGCTCAACAAAAAACACGGAAACTACCTTTTCGGGCTTTTGGAACTCTGAAACATGCCCAGACAGCATCGGCAACCTAAAGGCAAGTAGTTTCCTATCTCTGTCCTGAACAAATTCACCTCGGCCTCTGTTCGACAAGCATGTCGAACAAACAGGACAGGAGTTTCGAACAAAATGACCCTCCCCCACCCTGTCGGCTAGCTGCGTGGACTCGAAACGACCCTCCTTCCTCCCCCCGAGCTTCCTCCTTCGCCACGGTGCCATGGCAAGTTGCGCCAAAATAGCGAGCCCATGACAAAGCGGCAGAAGCGTGCGCGCTACAACGGCTGTGGGCAGACGAAGGCCCAAGCTGACTAGCAGAAATAGGAAACACATCCCTTGCTAGCGAGTTCCTGGAAACCGACAGACATCTTTTAGCCAGTAGTCTCGGGCGAAACGGCAGTATCATAAAAAATCTGCCTTTTCCAGTCTGTCAGGGCAAGTCGCTCTGGCAATCAGGTAGCATCCCAATTGTAACTCGCGTAGGAGATGGCTTCGGGGGTCCTAGCGCAGAAGGTTCCGAAATCCATTAGGTAAGGACAGCAGCTAGGTGGCGGAAGCCGCTCAGTAGTTAAGGAGGACAATGCTGATCACAGGACACTTCTAGTTGAATCAGGGAAAGAAGCTACTTCTGCCAGCATCACTGGAATGTCGAAGCTATGTGCAGGAAGGGCCGTATTGTTAATACTGACAATTTGGCGCAACCTTGGCATACTATAGTATCATAATCCACAAGGTAAAGGATGCCTAGGGTCATGTGGGAGTGACACAGGCTAGCAAGGCTTCAAACGAGAACTCCGCCAAAGATAGGTCTGACAACGACAACATGAAAACCCTGTTATTGATTACCCTAAACAGTAATTTTCATTGTATTTCCCATTATCCCTATCTGCCCCTATATACCCCCCTGCAAGCCCCTATATAAGTCTAAACCCTAAATATTATAGTATATATTATACGAGCCCCCTAATGGAGGGTTCCTTTCGCGCATGGTGGCCGGTGACTCTGTGGATAAACCCGCCCCCGCGCAGGTTCTCTTCCTTGCAAAGATGGGAGGATGCCCACAAAGCCCTATATATTCTAGTAACTTCCATTGGAATGTTGAGGGTTCAGGATAGTTCCAGGATAGGTTACCTGTAGGATGAGAGTAGTTATGGCCGCATTATAAGGAGACCCGAGCACTACTTGTCACTACCAATGAACCTCCAGGTAAAGCCAAAAAGCTGAAACTTTAAAAAAGGCGCACATAGACTTCTGGACGTTTGAGGTTCCGTTGTGGCTTGAGGCGAGTGGTTGCTTTTTTTTTTTTTAAAGGCGGTGAGGGCAGCCCGGCAAGTAGGGTTGACAAGCATGCCTTTGCCAAACTCCTTGTACTTTGCTGTTTCAGCTTGATATTACTGATGGTCCTGACGAAGTTGACGGAACGTTGTGGACAGCGATCAGAGCTCAGTGCATCATGATGCACGGCTGAACCATCTTTATCCTTGTTGTGCTTATTCGTGTGGACGCTTCTGTTGCAGCGAGGCTGTCATCATCTTCTAAAGGGATCTCTGCCAACACCTCAGGAAAAGCCGGGTCCTGTGAAACTATGCATCTTGAGCAAAGGGACTTTTGTAGTGGAAATGTCGCCAACCTAAGGACATCAACACCCCTGCAACACGGGAATGGGCCTGAGTTCTAAGTTTCAGCTGCTGGGCTCTGGTGTGGATTAAGAAAGGACATAAACTGACGTGGAACCTCAAAAGGGTCCCTGCAAGGACCAATATCCGTTTACTCGGTGACGTATTTGGGGTGCCTGTAGATCCTGCAAGGTGATTGATCGCACTGAGTACAAACGCCTTGCTGCGGCCTTTGGCGACGGAATTCACCCCCCCTGCCCCAATAACAAAGCCTCTCCCAGAAATATGATGGAGTTTTGTTGAAACGATTTGCTGCAAGAAGAGCGGAGGTCTCCGTGTTTTCGAGAAGACAGACCCATTGCTGCAGAGCTACCCAATTGCTCAGGCCCTGCCCATAGCGATGTGTCCAGGCTGCCTCCGCAACCTGGCATCCCTAAACTGGGTTGCTGTTGAGGAACTTTATTCCAAGCTATATTATCCCTCTATAATGGCAAATCAAATGGAAAATGACATGGAAACTGGCGGTTGCAAGGAGACCTGACAAGAGGGTGGTGGATGCAAGAAGACAAAGTTCCCCAGTAAGCCCTTAATACGGGTACCTTTTCTTAATGTTCAGCTTTACTAAGAGAACCCAAAAATAAATGAGGAAAAGGGTACTTCTCGGGTACCTAGAACACTTGCACCAGTTACGACCCAAATATA